TCAGTCTCTGGCCTTTATAAACACCAATTTGTGTCTATGTTTTTGTACTCGGCTTTTTTTTTTTTTTTGCTATTGCACAACACTATTTTATGTCATTGGATGTCATTGGTTTAATTAATGAATTTGTAATTAAAATGGTCTAAGATCACTGTCATCTTGTTGTGGGGCAGGTCACTCAGAAAACACACCAAGTCCCAGTTTTGTCCAAATTGAAGACACTTTATTTAGCCAGCAAGCTGGTGATTGCTCCCTGCAGGACCCATAACTGTCTCTGCAAGGAACAGCCCCAAGCCTGAGCATTTTAGGATATTCAAAGACAAAAACTACATCAGGATTGATGTAGCTGTAAGCAAGCAGGTACAGAAGCTGAATTGGGCGATTAGCGAGACAATGCGATGGGTACACTGGTATTTCCCACAGGACTTTCCAGGTTGGCACAGTAGCAAACAAGCAGAAGGGAAATGGGTCAAAATGACCATAGTTGAGTACAAGTTAGAGAATGGTTACTAACATCTAGACAATCAATCTCTGACAAGCTATATCACCCATGAAAAATGGAAACCAAAGAGAACAATTTTACATTTTATAAGAATTGCTATTTTGTGTTGCCAAGTATGTTATGCTAGGTAACTATTAATGGGTGCAGAAGTGGGGCTTTCCCATGGGAGAAGCATTTCTTACATGATATGAAGTTTCACGGTAAAATGGAGTCTGTTTGGTTATTGCCCATACAGTCTGGCCCCTAACAATCTTTCCCTTGTTTTTCGGTATGGATGTGGATGTAATTCTACATCCTTGGTGTTTATCAATTTTACCCGGAAAATAAAAGTATGTATGTGAGTTTGTGTTTGTGTGTGTGTGTGTATGTGTATATGTCAGTGCTTGCCAATTTTTCATGCAATGGTATCACCAGTCTCACTTCCCACTATCTCCTTTCTTGCCCAGGGTACACCTGAGTTGCAAACTGTTTTTCCTTCTTCGAACTCATAATGCTGCTTTATATGCGTGGCACAGGTAAGCGAAATGACCTCACTCTCATCCTGACAGGGTCATTTGCTTGTACAATTCTAGTAGATTTGGCACAAACATCTCGGTGAGACTTAGCACAGTCGTGGTGCAGCAGAGCAGACGCTGTACTAGCTCGGACACCTGCAATAACCCAGCAGAGTTCAGGTTCACCTTAGGCTTCGCTTTGACATCTTAATACCGCTATTCAGTTTATGATCAATGTTTCTTACAAATTTAGTGTATTACCTTATCAGAGCATTCGAACCGTATCAGATTGGTAGTTACTGCTCATCAGCCTCTCAGTAATTTATCCTCATGTTATTCATTCCCAACTTCATTCCCACAAGGACTCTGCTTTAAATTGCTTACAGTTAGGTGATGTAAGTGTCCCTCCCCTTGCAGCTTACAGTCCTTGACGGAAAGTCTTAAATATTAATGATAACTCCGTATACCAAGTATAATACTAGGCAAGATGTTACATTTCCTGGGACTGGTCTGGGTCACTTGGGAAGCTAATGAGCAGTAACTACCAATCTGATACGGTTCGAAGGCTCTGATAAGGTAATACTCTGAGTTTGTAAGAAACACTGATCATAAACTGAATAGCGGTATGAAAACTAAAAAAAAAAAAAAATAGAATATGTAACTTCCAAAAAAGAGGATGGAGAAAAAGAATTTGAAAAATACTCAATTTCAATAGAAAATGAAAAGATGTTTAAAACAAAGTATGGTAAATAGATAAGAAAAACAATGTGGTATAAATACAGCTGAACAAATTCACAATAAATGTAAATGGATCAAACTCTCCAGTTAAAGACCACTATTTCCAGATTGGATTTTTTTATTTCAGCCATATGTAAATATATTAAATCTACATAATAAACATTAATACATCTTACAGTATTTGATGAGAAAAACAAACTGAAAAAAAAGAATAGAGTATAATCCAATTGTGTATTATTTAAAATACACTAAATAACACCACAGATTGTTTATAGCTATTAACATATGAAACAAAAGTGCAAAACCCTATAAAGTATTAAATATCATTTTGAGACATGGTAATTTCTGAGGATGAAAGGAGGGGAGTTGATAGGGGGAGGAACACATGTGAACTTCATCTGTAAATGTAAAGTTGCATTTCCTTAAATAAAACTAAAGCAATATGTACCAAAAAAAAAAAAAAAAAAAGATGTCAAAGAGAAACCTGAACTCTGCTGGGTTATGGCAAGTGTCCGGGCGAGTACAGCGTCTGCTCTGCTGCTCCACGACCTCTCTCCGGAGAGAAGGTCACGTAGGGACACCTCTTTTACCACATCCACACTTTGTCTTCGCGGGAGGAAACTAAACTTTTTGCGGAGCAGTCCGCAGTAGGAACAGGGGTCCCGGGCTGCGGAACAACGGGGCGGAGCTAGTCGTGCGCATGCTCTTTGCGGGACGCCATCCGGTTGCGCCTGCGCCGTGAGTCGGTCCGGCTCCGCCTTAGCGGGTCTAATTCGAGCAAGGTGTCCTTGCCGGGATGGTGCCGCGATGCCAGGTAAGGGGGGAGAGTGGGCGAACGAACTTGCCAGGGTGCCTGCTCCCCTGGACCTGTCTGCCCCACCTCTCCCGCCACAGACCCAGCCTGGATCAGGATGACCTTTTTCCATTCCTCGCTCCTCACGGACGCCCATCCTGGCCTGCTCCTTGGGTCCAGGGCCGCTACCGCCAAGGTGGTCTTTTTCTTTGAGGGCTTTGCTCCTGCCACCCCAACAAAAGTCAAGTCCACTTCACGAACTGTTGGTACACAGATCAGGGCGTTCAGAACCCGTTCGTTTCTGAAGGCGCGTGAACTTTTTTTTTTTTACAGCTCTCTTTCTCAGAGTATTAGTTTGACCAAGATACCTCTTTAATTTTTAAAAATGCACTTAATTAAGAATTCTTGGGAAGAATTGCGCCTCACTGATGGATTTACAATCCCTAGATTGTTGGCAAAACCTGTCAATATTTCATAGAGAATAATCAGTGCTGAGTGACAGGTGGCTATACTTGGTCAGATCCCTTAGTAACGGGCCTATTGCACAGGTTTCTCTTAGGAAATACCAGTTTATCTGGTATTTCAAACCTGCTTGCTTTATGTAAATGTCAGGATTTGTATGTTGCATAACTTGATCTTCCGTGATGGCTGGATCGATGTAATGTAGAATGGAATCAAAGGTCATTTGGCAACCTTGAAAACAAGCCATTTGTTGATTCAGTCATTTGTGTAATTCATCTCTTGACTCACACATTTGTTCAGTTTGAAAAAAAAAAATGATATTCTTTTATGTCAACTGAATATGGGCTTAATGGAAATCAAAACCAAAAACCATCCATTACTGAGTTGTGTTTAAAACATAAAAATTTTCCAAAATTTGAGCTTGTGGAGATGCTGCTTTTTATGGGTTTTCAAATTTTATCTAACATAAAATTTTTTTTTTTAATAATACATTTGGAAAAGGAGAAAACATCAGTATGAACAGTCAGAAAAGGACTATGAATTATTATTAAAATCATTTTCTTTCCTTTCAGGTTGAAATATTATATTTTGCAAAAAGTGCTGAAATAACAGGAGTTCGTTCAGAGACAATTTCTGTGCCGCAAGAAATAAAAGCATTGCAACTGTGGCATGAAATAGAAACTCGGCATCCTGGGTAATTAAAAATTTGTAGAATGCATGTGATTAATACTTTTTAATATTGTAAAATGTAAATATTTCATAGAAGTATTATGTAAATAAAATATAAATGATAAAAGTAAAAATGGTTAATTTTGATTTCCATGTGCAATATCAAAAGGGATTTTTAGTTATATTTTTCTGGATCTACTCCTGAAAACTTAAACTTAAACTCTAGTATTTAGAAATGCACCATTCTTTAAGGAAAGTTAAAGATAATTTATTAAAAAGTCACAGTAAACTGGGATACTTCCAGACAGATATGGTTATATAATCTATAATTATTTTCATAATCTACAATTGTAATAATAAAAAATTTAGTAATCTATAATTTTATTGCAATTATAGATTCTGCATTTTTATAACACTAAATGAAAATTTTATTGTTTAAAAACATGCTGTAATCTTTTTTGTCCTTTTCTCTCTTTAGAATACTCAAATTAGAAATTTCTAAGATTAAAAGAAAAATGAGTTACCACAAACTCTAAATGCTACTGGAATTGAGTTTTGCAATATTTGATTTGTTTTCCCGTATTCTTGAAAACCAGTAATTTTATTGCTGTCATTATTACCTCAAATCACTTTTGGAACAAAAAAAAATGAAAGTGACTTATTTGAGGATGTTCCGGAAATAGTAGTAGTGCCACTGAAGTCTATATAGACTTGGAAGTCCTAGGGCTATGTTAAAAAAAGACTTCTGAGGTCTGTGGGTGTAGCTCATCAAGCTTGATGAGGCTCTGGGTCTGATCGCCAGTAACAAAAACAGTATACACAAAGACTGGACATTGTGTGTTCAAAAGGAAACCTCCCTTTCTTGATTTCCTAAATTGCCCTTCATTCAGTGAAATCAGTAAGTAGCCTCTATACTATTTTACCTTTAACCTGCTTGTGGGCAGAAACTTGATCTTATAGGAAACGTCCTAGTTCTACTTAGTATACTTAGACCAAAGACCAATGGAAAGCCCATGTTCTGATTAGAAAATTTTTGGTTTGAATGTTGCCACTAGTGTAGTTTTTGTTTGTTTACAGCATTCATTAAAGAGTTGTTAGCATTTTAATGTGTTCTTTGCAAGGAATAAGTGTGTTCTTCAGTGGTTAGATCCTTTCTCCAAATGGAGTATGACTTAATTAGTAACTTTGCAGGTGATATTTCATATAGTAATATTTATGCAATGTCTTTAATAATACAGCTGAAGAGATTTGATGCCTATCACACCTTGATTCTTCTCACCAGACTTTTTCTCCCCCAGATTGGCTGATGTTAGAAATCAAGTGATATTCGCAGTTCGTCAAGAATATGTAGAGCTGGGAGACCAGCTCCTCCTCCTTCACCCAGGAGACGAAATTGCCATTATCCCCCCCATTAGTGGAGGGTAGTGCTTTTGAACTATCTAGGTATGTGAGATTTGTTTTTCTTAATGAGTCTTCTGGGGAAGGGTCGAACAGATGATAACTTGTATGTGGTTTGTTGTTACAGTATATTCTTTGTAATTGCACCAGTTCATTTTTTTCTTTTTTCCTGTATTGGGGATTGAACCCAAGGACACTCAACCACTGAGCCGTGTCTTCAGCCCTTTTTATTTTTTTTAATTTGAGACAGGGTTACCCTAAATTGCTAGGGACTTGCTAAGTTGCTGAGGCTGGCTTTGAACTTGTGATCCTCCTGCCTTAGACTTCCAAGCTGCTGGGATTACTGGCATGCGCCATCATGCCTGGCTTGTACCAATTCTTTGTTGATACTGTTGCTCTTTCTTGATACAATTTTAAATACCTCCCTACCATCCTTGCATCAACTCTATTTTAAGCAGTTTACATGTGATCATTATATTCATTTAACATATTTTATTGAGATATTTTGTGTGTTGGGCACAGTGCTAGACTGAAGTATTGATATACATATTTTACTGGTGGAAAAACTGAAATTCAGAGAAGTTACAAAAAATTTGCCTTTGGTCACATATCTAATAAGTGGCAGAGCCAAATTGGAATTCATATTATTGAACTCTGTACTTTTTTTTAACAAATGTACTTAATAATACTAGATAATAGCTTTTGTGGGGTGCAGAGAAATGTAGAAAAATTACACAGCTAGAAGATCAAAAGATCACTGTGCCTGAAAAGAAAACTTACCATTGTGGAAGTATAAAGGAATAGTTCTGTTGTTATAGCTGTGTTATAGGTGTATCCATTGACATCTGCTAAATCTTAGTCTTTCCAAGTAACTTAATCCATATTGGAGTAGGTCGAAGTGTAAGAACATTCTTCAATATAGTGTGAGATATCATGCTTTTCTTATGTATAAAGAGACAGAATGAAGCTTACTTTATTGCCAACTGAATAATAAAATGATGTAGAAATCAATCATTCCTGATTAAAAACTCTTTGGAAAGAAAAAAAGATGTAACTTTGATAGGGATTTTATCCAAAATCAATAGTAAACATCATACTCAATGACAAACCTTGGTTCCATTAGAGAAAGGAGCAAGCCAAGAACTCCTATTTAATTTTTTGCCCACTTTTCCCAACTTTCTCAGAGGGCAGTGCCACAAAAAATTGCAGAATTAGTCTGTACAGTGGATTGCCCAGCATGGCTACATTTAGGAACCTTTCTCATACCTATCATCTGGAAATTCTTTGTTAGATATGCATCTCAGTTTTATATGCACACTGTAATTACCTTATCACCATTGTGATTTTAGAAGATTCTAAAATGCTGGTTTTCAGAGCTTGGAATTTATTCAGAAGACAATAGACTGCCATGAAAGGTGTGTGTGTGTATGTGTGTTTGTGTGTGTGTAATGACTGTGGCTGTTCTTTGGAAAGATTAGAAAGATTACTCAACAGCATTGCATATTATGTGGATACTTTTGTCAGGATTTATGTTATGAAATTTTAGAATCTGCTAGTTAGGTTTTAGTAGTCTTGTACAGTAAAAAGTTTTTGAGAGTGTACTATGATTTGGAGCACAGATACCCCATTTTGGTTACCTGTTTAAAAGCAAGAAGAACAGGTATAAGAAGCTTCTGTGGCACATACAGCATTTGAAATGCCCTGGAAACTAGTGGCATATATAAGTAATTGTACTTTTCAGGAGTTAGAAGGAGATAAGGTAATATAAATTAGATTTACTAAGAGTTCTTTGTTAGAATTTCAGCACCTTGAAGAGTCCATAATTTCTCTAAGCCTCCTTTCATTTTTCAATTAAGGTGAAATCTCCAGGATTTGTAATCATACTTCTCAGGGTCTGGAAGGTCCTACCTCCCTGTCCGGCCTCAGGTCTTCCTCTCTCCTTTGCTCACTGTGCTTAGGTCTCCTGGAGGTTCTGAATGTGTCAAACTCTTTCTTGTTCCAGAACCTTCACATTTGCTAGTCCCGTCTCTTTATTTGGGGATCTATCCCATTTCATCACATGGCTGCCTTCTTGTCTTTTAGGTCTCCCTTTGAAATCTTCCCTCTTGAGGGAGACCTTTGGGATCCCTTTTCTCTAATAGCCCCCACACTTTGTCTCAGAACCTGTTTATTTCCGTAAGTTATCCCCATTTATGATTCTTCTTTATTACTTTGTTTCTTCCCTTGGGATACAACATCTTGATGACAGAAGCCTATGATTTTTTTTTTTTGGGGGGGTACTGGGGATTAAACTCAGGGGCATTCAAGTACTGAGCCACATCTCCAGCCCTATTTTGTATTTTATTTAGAGATGGGGTCTCATGGAGTTGCTTAACATCTTGCCAGTTGCTGAGGCTGGCTTTGAACTTGTGATCCTCCTGCCTGAACCTGCTGAGTTACTGGGATTACAGGCATGCGCTAGCACACCCAGCTGGGCCTGTGATCCCCCAACCCCTGGGTCTGTAACTAATGTCACAGTCTCTGACACTGTGTATGTAATACTGTTTGATGAATTAAATGCAAAATACATGCAAAAGCCTTTGTACAACACCTGGGTAAAAGGTGTACAGTTTATTCTCTATTTCTTCTATTACTTAACTGGGGTCATACCTCAGTGTGAAAGCAACATAGTTCCTGTGGAAGTCACTGTCACTTTTGCTTTCCCTGTCTTCTTTTTGGATAAAGGAAAAGGCAGTCTGGGTGTGGTGCTTGGTTACATAGTGATTAGAGGTGAATTGAATGAAGGCAAAGGTGGTAATATTTCAACTATACCATGATGGAAGATACAGGTAGCAATTGCAGAGTTGCAATAAATTGACAGAAGAGCTGTGTTACATTACAGTGACCATGCTAATATTGAATTACTTTTTACACATGCCCAATTCATTAGGGCTGTTTATGAATATAGCAGTTATACTAAAATTTTACATTTGCTTGTTTTTATTACCCAGATCAATCATGTCTCCTAACACATCTGATGTAGAGAAAATAAAAACAGTTCATAAGTTGAGGGTTTTGCTTCTAGTATTTGTACTAAAGTTTATTAATATCTTATTTCCAGAAAAGATATGGACAAAGTTGAAGAGACATCTAAAGATATAATAAAATTTACTGCTGAGAAACTTTCTGTGGATGATGTCTCCCAGTTAGTGACATCTCCTCTCTGTGGGGCAATATCCCTGTTTGTAGGTGAGTTGTATTTTAACAGTGTCTATTGACTGCACGTGGCAGTAGAAATCAGTTAGGGCTGTCCCTCTTCAGCATTAATAGTCAGAGGACTTTGAGCGATAAACCATGATTACCCATGAAAGTGGGTAGAAATTGTTTTAGTGTTCATTTTGTTTATTTTAATAACCTTCAGATTAACCTATATCAAAATACCAGGCATTAAAAGGGTATGATAGAAGTCATTGCTAGGAGAGAAAGTTGTATATTTTCCAAATGTTGAGTAAAACATATACTTGATTATAATTCTAAAAACAAAAATATTTTTTTTAAATGTCAAATGCTATTATTCATAAAAGTAATATAGCCTGTTTTGTCATGCAAATGTTTTCAATAAGCTTGCTTAATCAGTGTTCTCTTATTTCCTTAACATTTTTGGGATGATTATCTGTGATTTTCCTAATCAAGTTTTGTTCTTAGGAAATTTCAAAGCAATTTTCAGACAAAAATTTATGCTGTTTATTTACAATTTAAATATAATCCTTTTAACTCAACCATAATCCTTTTAAATTCTGTTAATGTGTTATTTCTATTGTCCGGGGAAAGCCTAATTGTTTCTTCTTTTTTTTTTCTAGGGACTACAAGAAATAACTTTGAAGGAAAAAAAGTCATTAGCTTAGAATATGAAGCATATCTACCAATGGCAGAAAATGAAATCAGAAAAATTTGTAGTGACATTAGGCAGAAATGGCCAGTCAAGCACATAGCAGTGTTCCATAGACTTGGGTATGATTTTCTTTACCAGTTTTGAAGTTGAGCATGATTGTTTTCCATATTTGTACGAATGCTGTTTCTGTAATCTTAGGAGTCCTATGTTACCATAAGAGGAAGGTTTGAATATTTTTCTGGAGGACAATGAAGATAGTTCCCAGTACCTTAAAGGCTACTTGTTGGGTTGTAATTTTGGAGAGCCCTTACTGTCTCTTTTGCTGTAACAAAGTGCAAATGTGCCAAGATTTTCAGACCCTGGGGCTAAGAGCCTATGTTAAAGTCCTTGAGGTCTTTTGAGAGTTGTCTTATGGTCTGCACTCTGTTTACATAAGAATCTGTTATAGATCTGAATCACTGAAGTAATTTGCCTTTTTATAAAACTAAAAAGATTAGAGTGCAAAACTTTAAAAAGAATCAGCAGTTAAGCCTATATCTGTTATGTTAGTTGTTATTTTGTTGTTAATTATACTTTTGTTAATAACCAGTATTTTTATTAATAACAAGCATGATCAGTCCTATTCCTTAATATCGTTTGCTATTTATTATTTAAATAATAAAGCAACTTTGTAGCTTTAGGAGTTACCTGGCAGTGTGCTTTGTTAGAATCAGATATTTACTGGGTCAACAAAAGGACTCTTTTTTTTTCTTAGTCCCTAACAAAGGGGATTTGTGGATAGTTGCTAACAAATTGGCCACAAGATCAGCCTCAGCATCCCCTCTGCTGAACGCAACTGGAATGAATTACTGTTTTCTAATTAAATTGGATGTTTTAAATAGAACTACCATATGTTCTAATGTATAACTGGATTTTTTCCTACATGCATATTAGGAGGTGATGGTAATTTTTTTCATCATCTTTTTTAAGTTTGGTTCCAGTGTCTGAAGCAAGCATAATTATTGCTGTGTCCTCAGCCCACAGGGCTGCATCCCTTGAAGCTGTCACCTATGCCATTGACACTTTAAAAGCCAGGGTGCCCATATGGAAAAAGGTAGGTTAAGAAGTTGCCTCATTTTGCCATGTGGATATTATTTTTCTTAGGAATTCTTTGATAAAGCATGGGGAATAGGAAAACATACACAATTTGTACTTATGCACTTTCCTTAATAATTGAATCTTGTTTTCTTTATATGTAAAACAGAACATTTATGTAATATCTCCCTTCCAAGTTTGTTAAGCTTGACAAACACAGGCCCCAAAGAATGCATGGCACAAAGCAGGCCCAGCAAGCAGAAGCAGTTAGAATTTGTAGACGGCAGCGTTCTCTGAGATTCAGCAGTGTTCTCTGGGATTCATGGGTGAAGTATTCCCTTGGAAGAATCCCCTTCAATTAGAGGGTCTTTCTTTTGCAGAGTTGTACATGGTCTCTGACTACTTAGGCAATGGCTAAAATAGAAATTCCTCAGGGCAAAAGAGCTTTTTCTAACGCTTCTTCTTTATATGAAAGAAATAAATAAAAGGGTTAGATATTGCTGTCTCTGAGAAATGCATAGTGAGTGAATTTAAAAGCATAAATAGAAAATCATAGCTTATTTTTTGTCAATAAGTCAAGCACAAGCATTTCTCTATTTAAATAGAGTATTCTAAACTCCTCTAATTTCTCCCCTGGTTTAGGAGCATTAACAGTGGCATTGTTCTGTATTTATAAACATGTGTAATTATACTTCTAACCACAGAGTTGCCCATAGCAGTATGGCTATTGGCAAAGCTGAGGAATTAATGAGCAACTCAGGGGATCAGAAGAGCAGAGGAGAGGAGAGGGCCAAGGCTTTAAAGGGTGAGTCTTCTGTCCTTTTAGGAGCTTCTGGCCTCAGTCAGTAGGAAAGATGAGCAAGTAGGACTCTGAGCCAGGGCCTAAGGAGTTTCATATCCTAATTTTCTGAATAAAATCTGAAATGTATTATTAGGTTTCCGATTTTAGGAAATAATTGGGGATTAGAGGATAGGATATATGAAAGGAAGCTTAGTAAAGCCCAGATGTATTGTTGCTTTGCTATGAACAAGGCAATCATAGGCTTTTTACAGAGCCTAAGGCAGGCCCTGGAAGAAGGAGAGGTAGGAAAGGCATTTCAAAATGAGCTTCCAGCCTAGGCAGCAGGGATGGCTTTCTTTACCAAGGATAAAGGAGTTCACAGTGAGCCAACAGAAAGTAGAAGAGGGGGTAGCCCCAGGAAGTAAAGGCAAAGGGCAGGAGTTGAGACATACTGTCATTTTTAGGCTTTAAGGACCAGCTGGGTTTTCTATTTGATTTTCTCTCTCTGTAGAGGGTTGGGGGAATTGTGTGTATTCAGTGATTATGTCCATGAGAGTTAAGAGCTTACAGGGAATGATAAGCTCACCAAATGGAACCAACAGGATACCAGTGCCCAGTCTTCATTAGATGGAGCTGAGAGGCCATTCAGACCAAGAATGCAAAATGGCTGTTTTGAGGAAACTCAGCTCCAAAAGAATTCAGAAAAGCAATTCAGAAATTTATCAGAAAATTTAACAAAGAAATTGAAATAATGAAAACAATTTTGAAAAAAGAGAGAGATCCTGGAGCTGAAAACTACAGTGAATGAACTTAAAGTCAGTTGACTTTGGAATCCCCTCCATAGGGGTTCTGACTAGGGTGGGAAAAGAAAGCAGTGTGTTCTCTTCCCTCCTTCTACAGGGATCTGAAATCTAGTCTCAATCTAGCCTCTAGGCTTGGAGATCATCTGAGATATCAGAAAGTAGCCGGCAGGTAGGCTCATACTGTACTGAGCCTTTCATACCAGAGTGCGTTAGCTGCTTTCACAACTAATGGAATATCCCATTTCCCTTTGGAAAAGTGTACTGCTTAGCAATGTAAGGTAGTAGGTGTGTTGGAAATAAAAAATGTTTAAAAGTAACAACTTTCTATCTTCCCTTGCATAAACTGATGTCTCTTGTCATGGCCTGAGTGGAAGTAATTATTTATTTCCTCCTGTAGTTGTACTTTGTCTTGATAGAGCTTCTGGGCTCTCATTCGTGGGAGTTCTTAAGTGTAGGGAACATGTGTATTCACTTTTCTGTTCTCAGTGCCTTACATAAAAATGTTGATTGGATTGTTAAAAGTGGAGCAGGTTGAAATAGATATGTTATTCATTTGTCTAATTTATTCAAATATATTTTTATTTATTAAAATGATCTGTTTGGAGTACCTATTTTGGTTCTGTTTTTTAGGAACTATATGAAGAATCATCATCATCTTGGAAAAGAAACAAAGAATGCTTTTGGGCAACCAACAGTTAATCACTTAACGTTTTTTTGAGCACTGAATCCTACATTTAGTAAACTTCTATTGTTGATCACATTTTGATCTTTCTTCTCCACAGTTTACTGAAGTTTACTGAAGCACAGGTTATACCTGTGGGACAAATGGCAAAAAAGAAAGCAAAATACGTGGATATGTAGGATGAGGGATTACTTGGGGCTAGCAATAGGGAAGAACTGTGATAATTGAGAGATGGCTGTGGAGATATATCATATCCCTTCATGACTAATTTTCAATTGAAACTCAAATCTCATTGAAGTATGGCCCCCTCCTCACTACTTCCATGCCATTGCATTGATGGTGTTAATATCAGGGTGTATTTTGGAAATATTGGTCGAACTGGAAAGTCATTGTCAGTTTTGATATTGTATGTTATATATTTTCAGAACATACATATTTTAAAAAAATAAACCTAAATAAACCCATGATTTTCAAAAGTAAAAAAATAGTACTTTTTTGTTTTTAAAAATTAAATAATACCTAAAATATTTTATATTGCAAAGACTTTTAGTATTTTGGAATCTGTAATTATACCATAATATTCTGTCTTATTAGTTATTAATATTTATTAATATACAAGTCAATATAAAATTATTGAACCTAGCTACCCGCCTAACTAGCAACACCTCATTGGTTTGTGTTAATATGTTAGTTGATTTTTAAAATTTGACCCATAGCTATTTAAACAAATTATATTAAGGAAATTAATGTAAGAGAAATTATATGATTATTTATTAAAGCATTTTCAGGATAGTTTTCCTTCTTATACTAAAAAATGATCAAATTTTTGATTAGTCAACCTACATATGGTGTTTTGATAGATTTGAGTATAAATCCCATACAATTTTTTTTCTTAGAGAGAGAGAGAGAGAATTTTTTAATATTTGTTTTTTAGTTTTCGGTGGACACAACATCTTTTATTTTATTTTTATGTGGTGCTGAGGATCGAACCCAGTGCCCCGCACATGCCAGGCGAGTGCGCTACCACTTGAGCCACATCCCCAGCCCCCCATACAATTTTTTATGAAAGATTTTCCAGCTTTATTGAGCTATTACAGTTCTTAAAGTAATAAAATATTGGCCTACTTTGGGCAATGGGCATCATCATAAAATTAGCATTTGCCTAATAAGAACAAAAACTGTAGTTTCAGACAATTAGGTTAAAAGTTTTCCTACTTTCTGTGACAAAAAGAAAAACCTATCTGTTGAAAACAATTTTTACCTAAGAAACTCGTTTATTCAATAAATACATATTGAATATCTGTTCTGTGCCAGACATCCATCCTTGTCTTCCAAGAAATATCACAAGGAAGATTCTGCATGTACTCTCTGGCTGGGAACTATAAGATAGCCACATCCACTTTAGGAATCTCCTGTTATTTAGCTCCTATTCCTTGGCCTGTATGGAGAGAGCGTGCTAGAAGGACACTGGTAAGAAAGACAAATGTCCACCAATTCCTCACTGGTTAGGTTAGTCTTTCTGGTCTCAGTCTGACCCTTTCAGCTCAATGCCTTCCTCTCCTTTCTTAGAGTTGTCACCTGGCCCTGCTGGAGATCAGGGTTCAGGTATTGGATGAAGTCAGTTGCACTGTATCTGAAAGCATACTAAAGTTAGTGGGCCATTGTAGATATTTCTAGGATTTTATACCTATGTTGTTAACATAATGTTTATTATGTTTAATGTATAATGTTAATATGAGATATATGTAGAAGTGAAATATTTCACCTGGAGCATGCTGAATCTGAAACATTTTTTAAAGTTTTATTATGCATTATATTGGACCTAAGTAGAATCTTCATTAATCCTTACTTCCTTAGGAGTGGCTGAATTAATTGATAGTTGAGATATTAAGGGGCTGGTATCATTCTGACATGTAGCCTTTGCAACTTGACTACACAACTAATAGAAGAGTAACCTAAAACAAAATAAAACAAAAATTCAGCCTTTAAGTGGATTGCCTGCAAGATTTTCAAGGTCACCTTGAAGCTTTGACTAAGTGATTAGTAGGTGAATTCATTCAAGAAGTGGGAAATTCATATTTATGCTCCAAGTATTTTTAATGGAAAAGATTTCATCATATTTGAAAGGAACCGCTGATATTCAATGAGTGAAGTATTCTGTGGATATTTTTGTCTTTTGAATATGATGTTTAGAGTCCCAATATATTTCCAGTATTTTTTGAGAATTGGCGATTAAGAAGGCTGGCCTGCTGACAGTCCTGCTGCCATGCTTCCCTCCCTAAAGTAGATCTGTAAGGGCCTTCTCATAGTTAACCACATCCTCAGATGTCAGTCTTCACCATGGCCTGAAGTCCTGAGCAGTGGGGCCCTAGCCTGCCCCTCACCCCCCATCTTGCTCAAATCTTGTGGTGACTGGTTCTGGTAGAATATTTCTACCTTTGAGAAGCTTCACCTGTTCTTTCTAGATTACTCTTCCTACAGACATCCCCATGGTCAGCTTCCTCTCTTTATTTTAGTCTCTGATTAAATGTTACCTCCCACAGAGAGTTTTTCTGGCTGCCTCTTTAAAAACTGGAAAACTGGCCCCTACTCTGACTTTTATTTTGTTGTGGTACTTAGTGATGATACTTGATGTACTACGTCTGCCACTCAAATATTTGGTGAATGAATTACCAGTGTTATATATTCTGTCCCAAATTAAACATACCTGAAACATGTATAATTGTCGTATTTTAAAAATGTGAAAAAACATCTGTATAAATTACTGAGTGGGTAGATGAACTTGTCTCTTCCACTCCTTTTCCTACTTTCATACCATGACATCTAGAATATTAGGATCTCTTACAGCAGTGATGAACTTTGGCTGTAGTTAGGCGTATCATCCAGCAGAGGGTGATAGAGTCAGAGCTATTGTAAGAACAAATTTGAATCTTCAGTTTTATTTTGCATGAAAAAGTTCAGTTTAGTGGCCATTTACCTTAATGTAAGGTGGGAGTTGTCCTTCAGTGAAAATAGGCCCTATTTTGTGTAAGATGATGTCCAATCTTTCATTAATATTTTACTTTAAAATTAAAGAGTTATGGTAGGATGAGAGAAGAATTTTTTTAAAATGCTGTTTGTAGTTTTTAACAGGTAATATACAATAAGTAAAAGGAATTACCCTTAAAAATGAGTATATATGAGATTATTTTCCAGTGAAATCATAGGACAAAATGGTAGCTTTAATACAGATCTTTGCTAACTTGCTGTGTTAAAAACTACTAATGCTCTTTTTTTTCTAACATTGTATTTAATGTGGGATAGATGCCACATGTGTCGATAGTTGTTCTGCAGTAAGTTGTCCATAGCTGTTTCCTTACCATGAGATGATCATAGAGGCATGTAACAGCATATCTGACAGGAACAGGAGACTTCTGTGCACTGATATAAATGGCAGCACAAATGGATGTTCTACCCAAACTTTGTACTAGTGCACCATTTTATGCAATGATGGCAGTCTGTTAGACTAATGCATATCTTTTTTTAATGCTTCAGCATATTTAATTTTTATAATAAAAATACTTAACCCCTCCTGGTTACTCCAAAGTTTTTTTTTTTTTTCCTTTTTAATTATACTTATGACTCTGCTTTTGGATGTTGCAGCAGTTTGGCTGGGTTTTTTTTCTTATAAGACTAGACACCTGTGGCTACTAATATTCTTAGTCTTTTTAAATTGAACCTTTAATGTGTTCTGAGGCAAAGTGAGTCCATAAGACAAATACTGTGAAATGCATAATGTGTAAAACACCAAAACAAAATAGCTTTATATTCAAAACAACTTTAATAAATGATATTCTATAATGTGGTATGAAAAAAGTGGTTTTCTGTTCTGTTCTCATGCTTTGATATGAGAAAAGCCATTAGTTTTTGTTGATTACCATTCTGATTAAATCAAATGAATTGTGCAACTTGATGTACAAAATGTATACATTCATTTTTATAGTTTTGGTGGAGAGGAAAAAGGCAAAACATTTTAATTATAAAAAGCAAACATTTATATAAAGGAACTAAGACAACTTCTTTTTTAAAAAATATACAGTTTCAACATAGTCGTGCAATATATACATTTATATTTTGACTTCATCTGCCAAAATGAATCAAGTACATATGATACTTTTTATATTTACATAATGGCTACATTTTTATTTAAAATTCAAAGAAGTAATTAACATTTTTATTTATTTCAAACTTTACCCCCATTCTTATCTTTCACCTCTAGATGTTTTAATTTTTCAAATTGATTAAAGTGAATAGTCCTGAATGTATTATATTGGGTATAATACTATAATTGTTTATACAAATTTAAATATTAAGGAGGAATCAGAAAGCTCAGTTTAAGTAATCTATAATCACTTGTGTAATTATAATAAATTTCTTTGTTTTATTTACTTTTCACAGTTAATAGATATCTTTCACTATTTTTATAAAAATAACACTTCTAGCTGGAAAGATTTCTGTCCAGTTAGGAGTTCTCAGTTTACAGCTAAAATGAGTAAAGTACATTTTAAATCTCAATGAAGTTTCTTCCTTAAGTTATTTTTCTATGTTACTGTTTTATAAAGCTTATGTGGCAGCCAAGCATGAAACTCTAGTTTTCATGACACTCTATATACCTGTCTATGTACCATTTATGAAATGGAAATTTTAACAGGATATCTTTTAAGCCTATACTTACTTTTAAAGCAAAAGTGTGGTTGAATGGAACACACAACTTCTGTTTTTCTCCCTTAATTTCTTGGATGTATACTCAGTTTGTTTAGAAGTGCTTGAGAAATTCACTCCTCCTGGGAGTCATTTGGCAATGTCTGGAGACATTTTATGATTGTCATAGCTGTGCCTGGAGGATGCTACCTAGCACCTAGTAGATAGAGGCCAAGGATACTGCTAAACATCCTACAAGACATAGGACAGCCCACCACCTCACTCCCATGAAAACCATCCGGCTCCAAACAATAGTACTACGGCTGAAAACCCTGCCCTAGAGTGATATATGTGGAGACAAGTGGCTAATTTTTAGTTGGTAATCTACCAACTCCATGGAGACTGTAATCTAGGCTGTTTACCTAAGCCAAGGCTAGTTAGAGCTCTCAAGCTCAATGTGTGATATCACCTTAGCTTACCCTTATCTAAGGAAGGTGAGGCGAGTGAAATCAAAGGAATGATGTGCCATTGTTCTTTGTAAATCACATTGAAAAAAATAGTGTGCATATATGCAGTAGTTACATGGTTTGTTAAATACTCCTTGTCAGCCTAAGGACTAGTTCCTCCATTTTTTTTTTTTTAAATAAAAATTTGGTTGGAATGAAACAGTCCACACAGCTGTTAAAAGAATCAGATGCTATGGCATGCTTCACTAGAGAAAACCATGCTGTTTTTGCTATAAACCCCTGACATTTTATGGCTAAATATTTTTTCTTGTTTGTTTTACTTTGTCAAATAC